AATTTTAAGGCATGTGGACTTCAACTCCCAGAATTCCACAGCCAGCAACGCTGGCTGTGGAATTCTGGGAGTTGAAGTCCACATGCCTTAAAATTGTCAAGGTTGAGAAACACTGGCATAGAACATTTTTTTAAAACTTTTTTTTTTTTTTTTTTTTGCTGGTTCCTAATTAAAATGCCTTTCTTTTCAATGTCCCAGGCCCTCGGTATTCCAGCAACCCGTTATTTTTCTGGGAGCAGATGTCACTCACCCACCTGCTGGAGATGGGAAGAAACCTTCCATTGCTGCTGTAGTCGGAAGCATGGACGGGCACCCCAGCCGCTACTGCGCTACTGTGCGTGTGCAAACATCCCGCCAAGAGACATCCCAGGAACTGCTGTACAGTCAGGAAGTGATTCAGGACCTGACTAATATGGTGCGAGAACTGCTGATCCAGTTTTACAAGTCCACTCGCTTCAAGCCCACACGGATCATTTATTATAGAGGAGGAGTATCCGAAGGGCAAATGAAACAGGTATTGGTCTAGTACAGGAGCAGGCAACCTTGGCTCTTTCATGACTCATGGACTTCAACTCCCAGAATTCCTGAGCCAGCATGAGGGAAACTTTGGCCCCTTCATGACTTGTGGACTTCAACTCCCAGAATTCCTGAGCCAGCATGAGGGAGACTTTGGCCCCTTCATGACTTGTGGACTTCAACTCCCAGAATTCCTGAGCCAGCATGGCTCAGCTTGGAAACCTCTCCCTTTCCCCTCAGCATGGCTGGCTCAGGAACTCTGGGAGCTGAAGTCCACGAGACATAAAAGAGCCAAGATTGCCTACCGCTGCTTTATCCAAACCAGGTGAATGTTATATGTCAGTGTTGCATCCTGATCCTAAATTAAATTAATATCTAATCATTAACATATAGCACTACATACACAAGCAGTTTTCTGAATGTACTTGTCCAACTTTCTTCATGACAAGTTTGCAAAGTCATAATTTACTCCAAAAGTTATCACGAGCTTACTTGATATATTCAGCAACCAGAACTTGGCTTGGATTCCCACCTATTCTTACCTAATAATACAGTGGTTTCAGTGGGACTTTGGTAATCGCCTTGTGCAGCCCAGTTCAGCAGCTGATTTCAACTTTTAACACTTCTAGGTAGCTTGGCCTGAGCTGATTGCGATCCGGAAGGCCTGTATCAGTTTAGAAGAAGATTACCGACCAGGAATCACCTACATTGTCGTGCAGAAAAGGCATCACACGAGACTCTTTTGTGCAGACAAAACTGAACGGGTAGGTGACGGCAGAGGGAATGGAAAGCCACCCTGTTAAATTCTGTAGCTTTCAGGAGATGCCAAATGGCTTTTCTTAGAAAAGTGCCCTGGTGGGGCAAGGGCGGCACGAATGAATTTTTATATGGCTAGATGCTGATGGGAAATCCTTTGGTGGTGGTGGGGAATAACTTTACACATTTGGCATCGATAAAAAGTATAATAACTCATTGTTGATTCTAAATAGTCAGATATAACCCAGCTACAAGAAGCTAAAGTCTAGCTGAAAATTTTGAGGAGGCATATTGGTAGGCCTCCCTCAGCACTCTAATGATCCCTAGGAGAACGAAATGTGCGGGATCCAGGTAAGTCGGGTCCAGCTCGTTTCCTCCTGCTTATTATTATTGGACAACTTTCAGTTCAGCGTATTTCAAGTTTGACACTCTGCCTCAAGTTGCAAGAGCTGTTCCAACCGTAAGCTAAAATATTTCAAATTTAAATTTAAAAATATTTTGTGCCTTTCTTTCTGTCAAGCCACATGTGCTTCTCCTTGCGGCCCATTTCTTTCCCTAAATTCAAAATGGCTACTGTAGGGCAATTGCACTTGGATAATGTGAAAATTTGCTCTGTTGGATGTTGCTTTATGTTTATCTGAGCCTAGTTGCTTCAGGCAAAGCTGAAGAGTTTCCTCTTCAGAGGAAACTCTTCAGTTGCTCGTTAAGTCTTGATCCTTAATCTTTAGTAGCAGGCTGTAGTGGTAAGGTTCAAGTGTGCTACACAGATTGATTTGTTTACTGAGTCAGATAAAAATATAATGATGAATTCTGCTTGTTTTGTTGACATGGATGCTGTTCATTAAGCATTACAGCTGTGTTGTCTACAACAGGTGGGGAAAAGTGGAAATGTTCCAGCAGGTACTACTGTGGATAGCACCATCACCCACCCATCTGAATTTGACTTTTACCTCTGTAGCCATGCAGGAATCCAGGTAATCATAATATAGATGGCAGTTACTCTGTAACATTTCGTGGCTCATGCACGGGTGAAACCGGCTTTGTGTAAATGAAAGGTTAACCTCGATATTAAAATGTGCATAGAACAATATGGCCTTAAGCAGATGTAGTCTGGCCCTGAAAAGTCAATGAGGCATTCTATTCTGCATTAATGAACAGCCTTCACCCCCTAGGTCAGGGGTAGGCAACCTTGGCTCTTTTATGACTCGTGGATTTCAACTCCCAGAATTCCTGAGCCAGCATGGCTCAGCTTGGAAACCTCTGCCTTTCCCCTCAGCATGGCTGGCTCAGGAATTCTGGGAGTTGAAGTCCACGAGTCATAAAAGAACCAAGGTTGCCTACCCCTGCCCTAGGTTGAAGAAGCTGTTCTTTTGTTCCTCTTGCACAGAAACTCTGTAACTTGGGAAAAAACAGAGGACTTTCCTGGAGAAGAAAAGAAGAGGCTTTGTTCTGAGACTGCTGCCTACCTCATGTGCGGTATGTCTGTCTTTACAGAATTTCAGTGGTGGATTGACTAGCTTTATCCTATTTCAGGGAACCAGCCGTCCTTCTCACTATCAAGTCTTGTGGGATGACAACTGTTTCACCGCGGATGAATTGCAGCTACTGACATACCAGCTGTGTCACACTTATGTTCGATGCACGCGGTCTGTCTCAATCCCTGCACCTGCATATTATGCTAGGCTAGTGGCATTCAGAGCACGATACCATCTTGTAGACAAAGACCACGACAGGTGAGCAAATGTTGGAGAAGAACCGTCAGGGTTTAGTATACTCTGAATCTAAGATTGCATTCTGGGTAAGTGGTAAATCATACGTAGGTCTGCCCTGCTGGATCTGATCTAAAGGCAAAGCTTGTAACAATCTGAATTTTAGAGGGAAGTTAAACATTTTTGGTGGCATTAGTTGCTGGTTGATGCACAGGCAGTATTTTGTTGAACAACTTGCAACATTCCTGCCTCTTAATTATGGATTCCATTTAATGTGGCAGTACGTTGGCTAGAAAAATTGGACAATGTATCTATCAACATAATCCACTATAAACAGACCCTGAAGTTGCAATAGCGAAGCCTGTTAGTTTTGCTAAGCCTTTATGCTGAACTAATGCAAACTTCTACTCTCCCAATGTTTTGGATATTTCAGAAGAAGCTGTAGTTTAGATATTAGATGCCTGCATCACATGTAAGAGGCAGGGTTCATTTTTAACCTGGTTTATACAGGTAGTCCTTGACTTAGGACCATAATGGAGTCTGCCCATCACGATCGCAAGTCGTGACAGTTGTAAATGGTCACTCATGTCACCAATTTTACAGCCGTTTTTGTGGCAGTCACTAAAGGATTGTTGTTTTTTTGCCAAAAAGGAAGGCAAATGCTTGTTTTCAGCAAAACTAGTAAAACATGACCATGGGATGCTATATATGGCGTAGTTGCCAAGTACCCCACATTCACGTGACTGAGGGCGGCCATCGGAACTTTGAATCTGGGTCATAAGTAGGCCCAAAATACTTCTGTTTTAACTTCAAACAGTCATCAGTCAGGGACTACCAGTATATTGTAACATGAATAGAAGCTATCTCTGCCCAGTACTTAGAAGTGGCTTTTCACACGGAAACAGTGGCAACCTGCAGAGGGTGGAGAGTGGTTGAGGAGCATAGCCTCTTTCTAGGTTGGGATCATGTGTTAAATCCTTCTAACTTCTTTTTCAGTGCTGAAGGCAGCCACGTGTCAGGACAGAGCAATGGCCGTGACCCTCAAGCACTAGCCAAGGCAGTGCAAATCCACCACGACACCCAGCACACTATGTATTTTGCCTGATAGGACTGCAGCCACGCGGCAGGAGTGGCCTAGTTGGTCAGGCCACCAACCATCCGTAGTCAGGGCTCGTTTTTAATGCAGGCTGCCCTCCACCAGCAGCCTGGGACAGTTGCACTGAATTGATTCCTGCAGCCAACATCTTGTGCAGGCACAATTGAGCCATTTTTATTTTATTCCCTTCCGTAAACAGAAATTTCATAAACGGTCTTTGCATTGAACTGAATTTTTACCTCAAAACGCAAAAGGCTGATCCTCTTAAAAAACAATTTTTTTAAAGGACTTGGCACGAAAGGTTTTTATTGAAATATTTTGCTAATCAGTTAATCAATTTACGTTACCTCTTCATCCCGTGTTAAGCTTGTCAAGAAGATTAATTCCTTCTGGGCTTTTGATATACGACTTAGTGAGACTCCAGATACAGCAAAACAGGATTCCACTGTTTTTTCTGTCTGGAGCCATATAGACTTGATCAATGAATTTTTGGTGTAAGACACCCTTCCACAAACATGAATTTTCAGAGGTATGGCTGTTCCTTTGGTTCTGTTTTTTAATTTTTCGCTTTGTCAAATTTTACTAGTTCCCTTTTTGTAAATCTCTGCAGTCTGGGCTGCAAAGCAATTGCACTATAACTGCGAATTCAGCTTGGTGGTACTTCTGTGAATGCGTAATGTTAGCAGAGAAAAACCCTCTTTGGCAGCTCTAATACAATTATAATTATTATGGTTACAACTGCCATCTTTTGATTCAAAATGCTGAACTGCTTCCCCTTCTAAAAATAGGTAACCAGGTTCTAAACAATTAGTTTTAGTATTTTTCAAACATCACAAAAAGTGCCCATTTTATGCTGCTATGTTTGACAAATTGAAGTCATTTTTAATACTCTTTTTCATAGAAGGTTTTAACTTTGGCAATAATTTTTTTTAAATAACCTGGCAGTAGCTTTTCTAGTCAGAATCCATTCTTGGGTAGATTGACTTATCTTTGCTGAAGAAAAAAAATTAATTACTAAAAATGGATCAGAAGAGGCTCCCTTCATGCTTTTTACAAATAATTATTTTTAACTGTTTTATAGTCACCATTGGTCTGTCTACCCCTTTTTATAAGCTTGGAAAGTGGGTGTTGTGTATCGGAAAAAGGCTTTGCCAATTTGTACAGTTGTGTATAGTGTGACAGTAGCAATCAAAGACTTTTACCAGCAATTTAAATCCTGTTTCCTTTGATGATTTAGGTTTTTTTGCATGTACAGCGACACTCAGTAGCATGTGTGAAGTGTGAAGTGTAATGTTGATCTTGAACCTTTTCTATTAGGATTCTTACTTTGCTCGATTCTCTTCCACTGAAAATGTGTTAATACCAAAATTAGGATGGGAGGGGGTTGTGCAGACAATAATAATGTTGTGTTGAGACTAGCTTGTGAGTGTTAGCACACAATGCTTTAAATTACTAGTTTTTGACTGAGTTGATACGGCCAGCACTGTGGAAGACTGGGATTTGGCCAATAATTGCACTCTGGTCTTTTAATGGAAGGGTGGTGTCACAGACTCATGTGACTTTGTGAGTTTTCAAATCCGGACTTACAAGTTGACAGTATGATAACGCCATTTAGATCAGGGGTGTCAAACTGCCGGCCCATGGGCCAAATGCATCATAGTGAAACCGTGCCCGCCCCATTGCCAGCAATGGCAAAAAAAAAAAAAGTCGCAATCCGTCGCGGCACGTCACGTGACATTGTGAGTTTGACATCCCTGATTTAGATTGTCCTTCAGTTGATTGAAATAGAGCTTCTAGTAACTTGGAAAGTACACATTTCCAAGAACATTATTCAGTTGTGTCAGTACACTGAAGTGAAGTCTTCAAAAAAAAAAAAAAAGTTTGATATGCTTCTTCCAGAGCTCTGTGTGTGTGTGTGTGTGTGTGTGTGTGTAGGAAAGGGCATATGCAGTGTTCGTCCCCATTCAGAAAAAGAAGTGAAACATCTTAGTTCTGACATCCAGAACTCAGATATTAGATTGCTTAAGGTTTTGTTTGTTTTTTTTCCTTGAGAATACCTCACTTGGATAATCAAGATCAGGACACAAAGGGAGGGAGAGTGGCCACTGCTTTAGTTTGTCTGCTGCTTTTCTTTTCTTTGAATGTTCAGGGAGAAAATGCAAGAATTTTAACTCCTGCTGACCCAAACCAACGGAGAGCTGAGGCACCTTGACAAGAGTTTAAGCACCTGTTTTAGTGTGTAGCATTTTTTTATTGCACTAGGTGAGGACACGGTTTGAGAGAAAGAGAGAGAGAGAGAGAGAGTAAGTAAAATGGATATCTACACCACCTGGGTACACCGGTAACTGCCCTGGCACCTAGTACAGGTGGAGAAAAGGGATATATGTGCCCACCTGTCTGCAGGTGAGATCTTCTTCCAAATCCCAGCCAGGCAACATTGAAAAAAAAAAGGCTTTCCAAAAAGTTTGTATACCTTCAGCAGCAAAGGCTGTTTTTTTGTTCCCACGTCCAGATCAAAATTGGGAAGTAGGGCTAGAGGAGGACTTAAACCTCTTATCCCAGGGGTCCTCAACCTTGACCACTTTAAGACTTGTGGACTTCAACTCCCAGAATTCCTCAGCCAGCTTTGCTGGCTGAGGAATTCTGGGAGTTGAAGTCCACAAGTCTTAAAGTGGCCAAGGTTGAGGACCCCTGTCTTATCCTATCATTTGCCACAAAAGCAGATTTGGGGAACGAGGCGGGATTCCCCCTCACCACCCAAATAATAACAAAAAAGCGCGATTGGATGAAAACGTGCGTTTTAAAGGACTGAGTTAATCTTAGTTGTCGTTGGCCCAGACTCTGAAAACAGGAAGCTTAACGGATCTGGGAAGAGTTTTCTGATGGGCTTGTTAGGAAATAAGGCTGAATAAGCTATGTTGGTTTGTTTTTGTTTTGGTTTTTTTTTGAAAATTTGTATATCATAGGAAAAAAAAGAAGGGTTTTGATCATATTGTTCTTGTGTACTACAGCCCACAACCCACAGTGGTCTTTTGAAGTCCTCTGTATTTCAGAATGATACCTAAGCAGGATTCTTTTTTTTTTACTGAATTATTATCAATGAATTTTATTATCCCAAAAATGTTGATGAGAAAACTTTCTTGCCAACTTTTGCACTTTCTTGGAATTTTTCATGATTTCCCCCCCCCCTTCCTTCTTGTCTCTGTTGAAAATTTTCCTGTGCAAAAAAAAAATAATAATGTTCAGTCATCTCTTAGTTGCTGAACAGTCCATTGATGTCATTTGGGTATGTTTCAGATGTGAAAAATTCTGTCAAAGCAGATAAAGGTCTTCAAACTAATAAAGGGGAAGGTCTTGTTGATCTTTGGGAGACCTTTTTGACTCATTGGGACTGCTGCTTCCCCCGGGGATGAACTGAATGGGTATGCATGTGTCAATCAATGGGAAGATGTGCATTTTCTAGCTCTAGTTCTTAAGGTTTTAGGGTTTAGTTTGGTTGGGGTTTTTTAATGTTGTTTCCTTTCAACCAGTCTTCTCCAACTGTGTCGACCTTTGGTTGTTTTGGGCTACAACTTCTAGAATTTCAACTTGGTTGGAGACTCTTGGTTTATATTAAGCCTGCTGGCTCCTTTTTTTTTTTTTTGCTGTTATATCATGGACGGTTTTCAAATGTAGCAAATTTGAACTGTGGGCTGGAGGGGAGTGGGCTAAATTGGGCTGTAGTTCTTGGTGTTTACAATCAAGTGTGGTTCCTTCTGTAAGTCTTCTGCCTTTTTATTTATTTTTTTTTTTTTGAGCACTTTCATTCCAAAGAGGCTCTAAAAAGGTTTTGCTCTGTAACAGAGAGTCTTGCTTCCTTCTGCGACTTTTTGGGCATTTGAAGAAGGGCATCGCAGGAGACTTCAAAATCAGATGCAGAAGATGTTCCGTGTTTCTAGGATCCAGGGAAGCCATTCCCCCCCCCCCTACAGCCCTAATATCAAGAGGAAAGGATCTGGTTCTTCTTACGACCGGCCACCCGACCTCCAATCAGTTCTTCCCGCTCCCGCCACGAAAACTACCTTTGTTGATAATGCTGTGGGTCCTTTTCCCGTTCTCGCTCATCAGCAAGGCGGTTCCTCTGTTTTCATTTTCGTAAAACAGAGTCCTGAGGGCATTGTATCAATAACTGCTTCAACTGCAAGGTTTTTTCCCCTTGTGCAAATTGAGGAAAGATCATAATGTGAGTATCACTGAAGGGTTTCTTTATACCTTGCTATGGACACTTTTGTGATATTTCTATGTCTAGAGCCTGGACTTCGTACGTAAAACTTGTTGGCCTACGTTCATTTTCGACGTCCAGTGTATTTTTTTTCTTCCTTCCTTTTTTTTTTTTGGTTCGTTCGTTTCTCTATTGTTAGACCTGTCATGTTATAAATTGTATTTTATTCAATTGGACTGGATGTATGTCTATAGCAATACGAGGTACTTTTTCTTTAAAAGAAACTCTGGGGTGGGCAGGTTAACAGTACTTCCCTCCCCCATTGCGATATGCTGGCTGTGTATAATTGCAATGTATTTTTTTTTTCTTTTCATTTTTTAGCCTGCAGGGATTTTGTGTTCATGTGTCCAAAAAAATAAAGGCATTTGTTGCCAAATGTTTTTTCTTCGGTGTGCAATAAAAAAAAAGCTTGTCTTTTATTTTTTATTCTGAAACCAGTGTGCTACTGATAAGATTCATGATAGAAACAAGTGGCATGAAAGTTGAATTTTAAATAATATTATTTGGATGCCTTCTGGCTGTAAAATAATGATTGAGAAGTTGTAATTTAGAATATTTAAGAACCAAGGGACATATTGGGTAAGAAGCAAAGAATGTTGCTAAATATAAAGTAAACATACTTATGGCAGAAACCTTGACTTTGATGGCATTTGAATCAATGGTAACCTAAAGAGATAATTTTTTGTTATGGCTAACCTCAGCTATGTGACCTTGGCAGTCAGAGTAAATTCTAAGCAGAATTTACTCAGAAAAGCAATTGCAATAACCAGCATACTAATCCCTTCTCTTAGTTCATGAAGCACATGTACACAATTTTAATTGTCCATATTCAACTGGAAAGTAAATTTATTTTGTATTGTATTTTACATTCGCATATTACATCTCTCCAGAGGAGAAAATTTACTTTAGGCAATATAGGGTTAAGAGAAACCTTAGAATTGCAAATAAAAATGAGTAAGAACTAAAATATATAATAACATCAACAGAAACAGTCAACCAGTCAAATGGTGAAGGGAGGGAGTACCGTGGTCTTCGAAGTGTGCTTAAAAAAAGATTCTTTTGCCCCTCCCTCTGGTAATACTGGTATTAAGTTTTAAACTAATCATAATGAGAAGTTGCAGTAGCTTGATAGCACCCAAAATGAAATCCTGCTTTACCCAATGCAAAATTATATATAGTACCATATTCTCACCCAACTTGGTTTTTTCCAGCCAAGATTTATTTGTGACTACACCTGTTGGTTTTTACCTACCCATTTTTGGCACTTACGCTATGTAATCTTAATTCAGAGATTACAAAAAGTCAGGATGGCAGTGTTGATGCATGTTCAAAGTCTTGTCATTTTTAAATGTGACTTAAAGCATATAGAACAGAGCAGGGTTTCAGTGGCCAGGTGACTTTTTTTGCCCCTACTGCAGACCCTCTGTGAGCACCCAGCAAGCCTCTCTCTTTTTTAAAATATGTTTTATTGCTTTTTTAATATACATCTTAATATTTAAACATTGTGTTGTTTGGGTTAGTGTTTAAAAAACAATAACAATTTCTATAATTCTATAGTCCATACAATAGCTTTACTTGATTTCCTCTTCTTCCAATAATATTCTCTTTTGCCAACCTTAAGATAATACAGTTCTTATTTAAATAAATGACAGTGAGATATAAACATTTTTCTCACATTTCTGAAAATAATAACCACATCAATACAAAGCTTCTTTTCACTGATCATCTTGATTGCCTCGTCATAAATCCTGTTTACATTCTTATTTAAATTTGTTTTCCCCACAATATTCAAAACATTCTTGCTGGTTTAAGATTTTCTCAAAATTAGTTACACTTAAGTATTTAAGATTAGTTTAAGAGGGTTGAACCCCTCAAGTAATATAGTATGCCTTCTTTCTTTCGTGTTTGGTTTTTTGACACGAGAAATATAAAAATGTTGGGATGGTTTATATAAAAGAAATGTTTTCTCTGTTTTGTCTTTTTCCCCCCTCTCATTTTTCTTTTAAGATATGAGAAATGTAAAAATGTGATGGCTTGTATGAGAAAAATGGACGACCTTAATCTCTTGAGTTGAGGTGCATCCCAGCATGATGAAGATGACCAGCCTAGTCCTGTTCAAGAGAGACTGTACTTTTTTTTACAGCAACAATGGGCTTAGTTGTAGGGGCTAACATCTTTGTTTCTCGTATTAGTTCTACAGATAGATTTTATGATTTCCTCCATCTTGCTTTCCTGATGTTGCAAGCTACCTAGTGCCATAGAGATGACCAAAAAAACAACGTTCTGTCAACAATCTAAACCAGCTGCATGATTAAAACTAGCCCAGAGTCACTGAGAGGTGGGCAGCATACATATTTGATTAACAAACAAACTTATGTGCCAGCAATGTTTCCAACGTGGAAACACGCTCCAAGGAATGTCTGGTACTGTACAGTACAGGAGAAGCTGGGGTGACTTCCTTGTCATTGCCTCAGGTCTCCAGTAAGGGGCACCAGCGATGGATTCCTTTGTTGGCAACAGGAATGGGGGGGGGGGAGAAGGAGAACTCCAGGGAATCTGGTTGCCTCGGTGAAATAAGTAGATCTCTATTGCAGCTGCTAAGGATTCCTGTAGTGTGGGGCAAAAACCACTAGTAGGACTGTAGTGGGGCCTAACAAAACAAAAAAGGTGAAGGATTAGAGTTTGAAACTAGGTGTTTTGAAATGAGGTCACTGGATCAGAATAAATTGAAATGGATTACCTTCCGCCCTCTTGTGTTTTGAAGGGACCAAAGAACTAACTAACTATAGAGATGTAGAAAACAGGGAAAAGATGCCTTTACTACCTAGGGTTGAATGAAGCGGTAGGGCAGTGGTTCTCAACCTTTTTAATGCCGCGACCCCCAACCGGTCGTAAGTCGAGGACTACTCAACTGGTCGTAAGTTGAGGACTACTCAACTGGTGCAGCACCGTTTGCAGAATGGGACTTTTGGCGGGCTCAGCAGGGCAGAGAGAGCCTGGACAATTCCTATTGACTTTTGAAAGCCAATAGAATTAGACTCTATTCAAGAGAGTCTATTCTATTGGCTTTCAAAAGCCAATAGAATAAAAGGGAGTAGCACAGCTAAGGATAAGGGGGGGAAAATGGCGGACTGCGTTGTTTGATGACCCCCGTGAAATGGTCGTTCGACCCCAAATGGGGTCCCGACCCACAGGTTGAGAACCACTGTGGTAGGGTTTAACACTTCCTTTTTGATCACCTCCTGAGCCATCTTCCTTTAAGTATTATCTGCATACAGGTATTCTCACAACCGTTTGCTTAGTGACCATTTGAAGTTGCAACGGGACTAAAAAAGTGATTTATGAGCCGAGGTGGCGCAGCAGTTAGAGTGCAGTACTGCAGGCCACTTTAGCTGACAGTTCAAATCTCACCGGCTCAAGGTTGACTCAGCCTTCCATCCTTCCGAGGTAGGTAAAATGAGGACCCAGATTGTTGGGGGCAATGTAAATATATATATACACATTGCTTACTGGTGTACACCGCTTAGAGAGTGCTTGCACTTCAAGCGGTATATAAGTCTCATAAATAAATAAATAAATAAATTTATGCCCTTGGACTTTTGACTACTGCAGCACCCCCATGGTCACTTCATCTAAATTTGGGCTTTTGGCAACCGGCAGTTGCAATATCCTGGGGTCATGTCATCAATTGCCTTCCCCCTTGGCTTTTGACAAGCAAAGCCATAGGGCAGGGGTCTTCAAACTTGGACCTTTTATAATTTTGTGGACTTCAACTCCCAGAATTCCTCAGCCAGGCACCACTGGCTGAGGAATTCTTGGAGTTGAAGTCCACAAGTCAAAAGGGCCACGTTTGAAGACCCCTGCCATAGAGAGAGGCCAGATTTGCTTAACAAATATGGTTTGCTGAACAATTGAAGTGATTCATTTAACATCCATAGCTGGTTGGAGAAATCTTGAAATCCAGCCATCTTAAAGTTGCCAAGTTTGAAAAACGTTGGTTTAGAAGGAATGAACTACAAAACAAATCAGGAATTGTAAGAGCAAAAGGGTACAGAGTAATTAAGAGGGAGCTGATGCAATCCTCAACCAGGAAGAGAGGTGAGAAAATGAAAAACGAGGCATAATATGGACTGAGGAGAGGGGAAGCAATGGCTGTTTTGGAGAACAGAAGGGAGCAGAAAGGGAGAAGGAATCCTCTTGGTCTACCAGGGGTTCTCAACCTTGGCAACTTTTAAGACTTGTAGACTTCAACTCCCAGAAAAAAGCTGGCTGAGGAATTCTGGGAGTTGAAGTCCACAAGTCTTACAGTTGCCAAGGTCGAGAACCTCTGGTTGTAAACCCATGTTTTTCAAAAATCCCTTTCCAGAGTCGAATTCGAAGCACTACATAGCCCAAGAGAAGTCTTTTTCAACTTCAGCAACCTTAAGACGGGTAGACCCTCTCCCAGAATTCTCCAAACCACCTTGCAAATTCTCCAGGAGTTCTGGGAGATGGAAGTTGCTGAGGTTAGAAAAACGTTTGTGCAAGCTCATTTGAGTGACGTTTCCTTTTCTTGCCTCGAGATTGTCATTTCTTCGGCTCACGCTGGCTTCCGACTCCCCCATTTTTGCCTAATGCTGCTCCCTGCCAAAGGACGGAGGGGAGGCCGGCGGCCTCCGCTCCCGGGTCTGTGCGTTTTCTGCACAGCGTTCTTTCCTGACGCCCCTGGGAGAAGGCGCGTCCCTCCGGCCTCGGAAGTGCTGGCTCTTTCGCGACTTTCCCTCGTTTCCTACCTCTTTGCTTCTCTTCTCGCCTCCCCCGCCCCTCCCTCCCTCCCTCCCTCCTTTCCCAGCCTGCGGCGGCGCTGGTTGGATGAGCTGCTGCGCAGGCGCAATCCCGGGATCCCGGGCTCGTCCCGAGCAGAAGCTGCGGCTGCAGCGGCGCCCAGCTCTCGGTGCGCGCTTGGACGCGGTTGCTCGCCGTCTCTCGCGCGCCCCCTCCCCTCTCCCCGCTCCGGGGCGCCGCCCGCGTGGATGGGATGGAAGCGGGTCCCTCGGGAGCAGGTACCCTGCACGGAGCCCGCGAAGGGCCAGCTCGGAGGGAGAGCATGGGGCGGGAGGGGGGGGATGCAATCGCTCAGGGGCACTACGGGAGCCCGGGCAAATGTGGGGGCCGAGGGGGGGGCTCTCCGGAGGAGCAAGAGCGGCGCCGGGATTTTTGCAAAGGGGAGGGGGGGGGTCTCCGGGGTTTGGAACCCGGGGGGGAGGCTGGGGGGGGGCGCGAGGGGCGCGGGCCGGGGTTGCGGAGGGCGCCAGGTGGGTCCAAGAACAATGGAGGCGAAATCGGCGGGGAGGGGGGGGAGGCTGGGGTGGAAGAGTTTTCGGGGCTCGGGGGGGGAGCCAGCACAACGCTGGGGAGGGGGCCGAAGGCAAGGCGAGGCCTGAGCTAGGCG